CTCAACCGTCTTTTTAAAATACGAAAAGAATAACAAAATGAAACAGTCGCACATACATACAAATGTTCACTGACAGATAGAGTTTTTTAGGTGTAAGTTTTTTTTAAAAAGGCGTTCGCAACTGCATAAGGCCATTTGAGTGCGCGGGACACATTAAACATGTTCTTCTCTCATATGTTCTCCTTTCACCTCCATTCCTGCTCTCTAGCAATATTCTGTCGTCTGCTTTCGTCCCCATTTTCTGCCCCTACCTCCTCACCTCCTTTGCCCTCTCGTCTGGGCTCCTGACTCTTTCTGCAACCTTTCTACTGCTTCTCCTTGGCTTCTTACTGCTGTCTTTCAGCCACACCCCTGATCTTATGGTAAGAAAGATCTACACCTAGCCTTCTCGGACAAGGGTGAAAAATCTCGGACGTCCCGTGCTCAAGTTGCGCACGTTAAAGATCCCTTGGTGGTCTAAAATCGATAAGAGTAGGCTTCCCCCGCCACCAGGGCAAAATCTAAAATTTTCTTCCAACTGAAAATTTTAACGTGTCTCGCGAGCTCATACTGTCGCTTTTAAGGACAAGTGGGCTAACCCAAATTTCGGAGGTTTCCAGGAATTTTGACTTACACCAGAAGTGGGCATTGCCCTACCTATAGGAGAAGTTTGGTTTCATTGGTGTGTATATTTGTTTGGTTGTAGAGAAACTCTCCTTGTTTGTTTGCTTTTTTATGTAAGAAACTGAAGAAGGGGCAAAAACTTTACCTTCGACTTTCTCAAAACAGCATTTTTCGGGATAGCCCCCGTGTGCTTAAAAGCGACCATATGACCTTATGCATTTGCGGGCGCCTAGCAACGCTTGCAAAACAACAACAACAACAACAATAACAACAACAACAACAACAACAACAACAACCCTACCCCACCCTAAAAAACAAACAAACCCCAAAACAAAAACCCCAAAACAAAAACACCAAAACAACCCCAACCCAACAACGAAGTTATACTCACGGTGAAAGAGTTGAGCCAGTCAGTGGTAGAGTTGATAGCGTCCTCCACCTCCCTCACGAGGCGCGGGTCAAAGTGACCACTGTCCTGTTCTGTGGGCATCAGGACTCCCAGTTTGAACACAATGGTGGGCGACCTGGAGCTGGTGGGCGACCCAAAGGTGGGTGACCCGGAAGTGGGCGACCCGGAAATGGTGGGTGACCCGGAAGTGGTGGGTGACCCGGAAGTGGGCGAACCGGAAGTGGGAGGGACGCTGATGATGAGGGTGCTTGAGGAGGCGTGAGGGGCGACAGCCGGAAAGACAGATGACGTCACAGCCACGAGGAGGAGGAACAAGGCTGGTGATGATGGTGATGAGGGTGGTGAGGGTGATGATGGTGATGATGGTGGTGGTGATGGTGATAATGATGATGGGGATGATGATGATGGTGATAATGATGATGATGGGGATGATTGTGATGATGGTGATGATGATAATGGTGATGATGATGATGGTGATCGTGATGATGGTGGTAATGATGATGATGATAATGATGATGACGACCGTGTCGATATTGTGTCACGTGATATCCAAATCATTGTGGATACAGCAAGGATATCTCACAAGAGAAAGACTTGAGGTGTGTGTAGGGGAGGGGTGTGTGCCGATGTATACAGCCGTACTGGTGACGTAGCAGATATGAGAGTTGTCTCGCTCTATTCCGTTTCCATGACAACGTATCCTGGAAGACGCCGTTGCCAAGGGTGGCGTGACATACGGCCCTGCAGTCCGGCTCTTTCTCTCCCTCTCTCTCTCTCTCTCTCTCTCTCTCTCTCTCTCTCTCTCTCTCTCTCTCTCTCTCTCTCTCTCTCTTGTTGCCTCCTTCTGAA